CGGCCAATCAAACCGTCACACGCAGCCCAAATGTTGCTCTGCGGTATTTTGGCCCATTCCCTGCGAAGCGCTTGCTTGAGGTGATCGACGATTTGGTATTTTTTGGTTCTAACCTTGTTTCCCAAAAATACTCCAGACACAATAGTCCAACGGATTGGTATCCAGAGATTTTGGTGTCCATTTTGCGCTGGAAATAAAGCGAGGAACCTCATTTTGAAACCATTCTTGGGTGCTGAGTTCTGTTGGAATGTTCAAGGTCTGCGACCAAAATATTTGCATGTCTAAGGCTTTAATACACCCTCCAGAATATGTTCGCGATAATAATCGGATCTTATTCTGATGCCACGGACGATAAAAACAAGCGGAGAGCCATCATCGGCTGTTATGGCTGCACACACCATCAACATGGCCGGCGCTGGAGTTCTGGTGACCAACCGCAGTTTGAATTTTGCAGCTGACCTCATTGGCAAGTATCACTATCATTTTGTTTGCTTACAAACTGCTGGACAACGAATGTTTTCTCATTGGATTTATATATATATATATATATATATATATATATATATATATATATATATATATATATATATATATATATATATATATATATATATATATTATATATATATATATATATATATATATGTATGTATGTGTGTGTGAATTAATATAATTAAAATATAATTAGAAATCAATATGGTGGAGGGTATTAAACCCGGATCGGCCCGGGCCCCGCATTTGTTTGTAACAGATAGAAATACGCGAGATAAACCCTACTTTTTTTGTACGATCTTTATAAAATAACATTCTGAGTCGGTTTATGCATGTCTGCCCATGTATTTTTATGAGCAAAATGCAGATCGCCTTTATTGTCCAATGATATGAAATTTTCCATGTATCATTTGTTTGATCTAAGAATGAACTCCATAACGTTACGTTTCATCCATTTCGTGAAACTGCTTCATTAATTGGAGCAGAAATTTAAATATAACAATTATCACAACTTTCCCACTAATTGTAAATACTTCGGTTGCGTATTTTTTTATAAGACAGCGCCTTTCTATATTCACATTTTTTACTGAATTTTGTAAAAATTAGTAGTTTCGTAACATTAATGAAATGCATTTCATATATTCAATGAAAACAAGAATCATTGAATTTAAAAGCAACGTAAGTTTTCATTGCATGAACAAAAAATTTATTATACTAATATAGCTTTTCATTGCATCAAAGGAAAAAATCAACGAAACCGTTTCATTGATACAACGAAGCTTTTTTCTTTCAGTGTATTTAGGAATTCTTGTGTGGGTTACACATACATAAACCACTTCAAACCATAGTATTATTTTGATTTTGGCAAGCAACATCATCAAATATCATAATAGAATATGCTTCGGCTTCATTCGGTTGTATAGCTTCGGTAGTTTCAGAAAATATGTGCAAGCTCATCCCGATAATTGGTGATACAAATTATTCTAAATATCTATATTTTGGTTGATAAAGTGACTTCGAATATTAATATATTCTTAAAATTTAATCCATTTAGATTCTTAATTTAACTCATCGTTATATTTGTTTTTCCAGAATTTAATGGACCTACTATTAGAGTTCTAATAGAATTAGGTAAAAGTAGACTATGTTTAGCTTTATTACTGCTGTTTTCCTTAATTTCAAATTTTTTTACTTTGATGTTTGTATCGTGTTCCACCAAACGCCTTTTCTCACCAAGCGCATTTATTTATGATTTTCCATAAAAGATATATGTTTCTTAATTATTATTCTATTTCATATCTAGATCAACCTTAAACATATAAAATGGTTGTTTATTAAAAAAATAAATGTTATTGGAAACGAATCACTCGAGAAGGAGGTTTGATGAATAAAATTAAAAACTCTCTTTCATTCAAATTTTTATTTACCTGGTTATCTATATTGTGGACCTAATTTGGAAAAAAAATTAAAACAAGACGACGACAAATAGCCTAGATTCCGCTTGTCAACTTCACGATATTGAGTATTCGAAAACAAAACGGATCACTCGAGGACGAGGTTTGATGAATAACAAGTAAAAAAGCTGTAAGTTCCACCATTTGGTACAAATTTGGCAATTTCCAAAAAATAAAACCCGTTAAAAATTCTGTTAAAATCTTAAAAATACCAAATGCTTATACGACGACGTGGGCCTGCATAGGCAACTTTTGTCATAAATTATTACAATATTTAAATGCGAAACTTGAAGAAAAATCTGTTTATAATGTAGCTAAAATCGTCAAAATACCGAATATGGGGAGTACCGTTATATGGGGGCTATACGAAGACGTGGACCTGCACAGACAATTTTCTGGCATGGGCTGAAGTATCCATTACGATATATTCAATGAAAACAAGAATCATTGAATTTAAAAGCAACGTAAGTTTTCATTGCATGAACAAAAAATTTATTATACTAATATAGCTTTTCATTGCATCAAAGGAAAAAATCAACGAAACCGTTTCATTGATACAACGAAGCTTTTTTCTTTCAGTGTATTTAGGAATTCTTGTGTGGGTTACACATACATAAACCACTTCAAACCATAGTGTTATTTTGATTTTGGCAAGCAACATCATCAAATATCATAATAGAATATGCTTCGGCTTCATTCGGTTGTATAGCTTCGGTAGTTTCAGAAAATATGTGCAAGCTCATCCCGATAATTGGTGATACAAATTATTCTAAATATCTATATTTTGGTTGATAAAGTGACTTCGAATATTAATATATTCTTAAAATTTAATCCATTTAGATTCTTAATTTAACTCATCGTTATATTTGTTTTTCCAGAATTTAATGGACCTACTATTAGAGTTCTAATAGAATTAGGTAAAAGTAGACTATGTTTAGCTTTATTACTGCTGTTTTCCTTAATTTCAAATTTTTTTACTTTGATGTTTGTATCGTGTTCCACCAAACGCCTTTTCTCACCAAGCGCATTTATTTATGATTTTCCATAAAAGATATATGTTTCTTAATTATTATTCTATTTCATATCTAGATCAACCTTAAACATATAAAATGGTTGTTTATTAAAAAAATAAATGTTATTGGAAACGAATCACTCGAGAAGGAGGTTTGATGAATAAAATTATAAACTCTCTTCCATTCAAATTTTTATTTACCTGGTTATCTATATTGTGGACCTAATTTGGAAAAAAATTAAAACAAGACGACGACAAATAGCCTAGATTCCGCTTGTCAACTTCACGATATTGAGTATTCGAAAACAAAACGGATCACTCGAGGACGAGGTTTGATGAATAACAAGTAAAAAAGCTGTAAGTTCCACCATTTGGTACAAATTTGGCAATTTCCAAAAAATAAAACCCGTTAAAAATTCTGTTAAAATCTTAAAAATACCAAATGCTTATACGACGACGTGGGCCTGCATAGGCAACTTTTGTCATAAATTATTACAATATTTAAATGCGAAACTTGAAGAAAAATCTGTTTATAATGTAGCTAAAATCGTCAAAATACCGAATATGGGGAGTACCGTTATATGGGGGCTATACGAAGACGTGGACCTGCACAGACAATTTTCTGGCATGGGCTGAAGTATCCATTACGAACTTCACATACGAAATTTGAAACAATCCCCGTAAATAACGTCGCTAAAATCATTAAAATACCGAATATCGGGGGGTACCGTTATATGGGGGCTATATGAAGACGTGGACCTACATGGCTCATTCTTTGACTTTGGATGAAGAATCCATTACGAACTTCAAATACCAAATTTGAAACGATCCCGGTAAACAATGTCGCTAAAATCATCAAAATACCGAATATCGGGGGGTACCGTTATATGGGGGCTATATGAAGACGTGGACCTACATGGCTCATTTTTTGATTTAGGATGTAGTATTCATTACGAACTTCAAATACCAAATTTGAAACGATTCCGGTAAACAATGTCGCTAAAATCATCAAAAAACCGAATATCGGGGGGTACCGTTATATGGGGGCTACAGGAAGACGTGGACCTGCACAGATAATTTTCTGTCTTAGGCTGTAGCATCCATTACAAACTTCAAATGCCAAATTTGAAATAATTCCGGTGAATAATGTCGCTAAAATCATCAAAATACCGAATATCGAGAGGTACCGTTATAAGGGGGCTATATGATAACTTGGACCTACATGGCCCATTTACGAACTTAACCTGCCTACTGGGAAAAAATACATGTGTGCAAAATTTTAGCCTTCTATCTCTATTTGTTCGAAAGATAGCGTGATTACAACAGACAGACAGACAGACGGACAGACAGACAGACACACAGACAGACAGACGGACATGGCTAAATCGTCTTAGAATTTTACGCTGATCAAGAATATATATACTTTGTTGGGTCTGACATGAATATTTCGAGGAGTTACAAACGGAATGACAAAATTAATACACCCTCCATAGTATGGTGGAGGGTATAAAAATACAGACCCTCTTTCATTCAAATTTTGATTTACCTGGTTATCTATATTGTGGACCTAAATTGGAAAACAATAAAACAAGACGACGGTAAATGGCCTTGATTCCGCTTGTAAACTTCACGATATTGAGTATACGAAAATACAACATAACGATAGCGAATTAGCTGAGAGAGCTTGGAGTCGAGTAAGAGTTAAATATAGCACCTGGAGCGGAATAATAAATGCTTAGTTGGTTACTAACACTATGAAAGCTAAATAAAAATTATGTATGTGTGTACCTGCAAAAGTGCAAAGCAGAAGATCATTATTTTCTACGGCAGTGAAGAATGCACTTGCGAAACCAAATGATATCCGAAGCGCCATAAACATTGCATAAAAACAATAGGGCAATAATTTAAAGGAAGAAACATTCAATGTTGTTATCCCCAGGATTATGCGAGTACCAAAAATTAATGGACTCATACCAATACCATTGGCAAAAACTTTGAAGTTGGAAAATTTTTATGCTTGGTTTATTATTAACTGTTCTCACCTGCGGAATTGAAGGCGCCTGGATAACCCGTTTGTATCTATTGGTCTGTCCTTCGTCTGCGAGGGATGTTGAGGTCTTCGGTGTGGTGGATATGTTGTCGTTTTCAAATGTAGAATCTGATTTAACTTCAATATTAAAGTTACACGACCTTTCATCGGAACTTGTTTTAGGGTTGTCTAACACAAGCGGAGGGGATAAGTTCATCACATTTAAAGACAATAAATGATGAAATTGAATTATGTTCAACATTTCTACAGGATTAAGTATTAATCCCGACGCAGCTGCTGCCGTCGCGATTTGTTGTAAACTTTCTAGATTATTTACATCTTTTGTTGCCTTCATACTACGTTGATCCATGTCCCCTGGTAAAGGAACGATTAAACCTGATCGGCTATTACTTTCAAGTCGTTTAAAATCAGCGGTAGAGCTACATGGTATGTCATCAGTAGGGATGCGTTTGTTACCAGAAGAGACATTGGTTTCTGAAATGTTTTTGTTAATTGTGTACTGAGTATTTTCACAGTTAAGCAATTCTCTATCTTCGTCGTGGCATACTTTCATATGTGACTGTAATGCAGTAATGGATCGAAAATTTTTTGCACATTTTCTACACTTTGTAGTGTCACGTAATGTGTGATACATTAGATGGGTTGATAGCTTCTCTTGAGTTTTGAAAGCCAAAGAACATTGTTTGCAGCGATACTTGTATACATGACGATCTGAGATAATAACATTTATATGTTGTTCGTGATAATGAGTAGACATAGAAATGGGTGAAGAAAACCGCAAATTGCATCCATTTAACGTATTATTGGACGCTAAGCAAATATACTCCCCATCCTTTAATGGATAATGTTTGAGCTGTTGAGCATGTAAAAGTAATTGCTGCTCTTGTCGAAAAATAGAACTGCATTTCTGGCACCGAAGAACATCAGGTGGTCTTAACAATGACCCGCTTACGTTTACATCCATTTGATTTTCGATAGTCGATATTCCTGTTTTTTTGCTTTCATTTAGTAATCCCTCTCCAATTTCCGTAGACATTAATGTCCGTAATTGGATTATGAGGCATATTAGTCTTTCTCTGTCAATATTGTGTACGCATTGTAAGTGAGAGTCAAAGGTTGCTTGATTACAAAAAATTTCTTGGCACAATGGACACTGCGCAGAACTTTCGGGATGAGAGCGTATTATATTTAAATTTCCATTTTTATCCTTAGTAAGTTCTTCATCTGAACTTGGATTTTGAAGCTCTGTGTTATGAGACGAGCATGACCCAATTGTATTTCTTGCCTTATTTTTCGGTAGATCTCCCAATTCTGAAAATTCTTTGTTGTGATGCGTTATATCCATATGAGTTTTTATTTCCTTTTTGGAATATGAACAATACTCACAGAAGTCACAGGAATAAGCAATATCTTTAACATCAATATTATGGAAAGAGTCGGAGTTACATTCTAGATTGAAAATGTCGTCGGTGTGATTATTTGAGCAAGTTTGTTCTGAAAAGTAAAAATTACATGTCATTGATTAGTAAGAACTTCATGCATACAATCATATATAATCATATATATATATATATATATATATATATATATATATATATATATATATATATATATATATATATATATATATATATATATATATATATATATTGAGTTCCCTCTAGAGTTCCTACATCGTATAGAAGAACTAGTAAATATGTACGCATTGCACCTTGATGTGCTACCGAAAATCATGAAAGCCAAGGCCTTAGTATGGTTTCGCAACAACAATCAACAATGTCAATCATGGTCGCCCTTTCGAGCAGGTATTTTAAACAGCTGGAAGATGAAATTCGTAAGCGGCATCAGCTAGCAAGGGAGAGCTCCGCGACTATTCGCGTATTATGCAAAAATTGGTGCGGCATAGTAAATACATCGAGGATCAGAAGCTCAAACGAATATTCCAAAACGCATTTCCAGAATACCTTTGGTATATCAGATGGCGAGATTTCCGAACTCTTTATGATCTGCTAGCGGACGAAAGTCTGCCGCCTATAAACCAAACGCCACCCGAGCTGCTTCGCCGGCTCGATCCCATTAAGAATACATGAGTCCCACTAGCGTTGCCGCAGCACGATGTCGATATGAGCCCATTTTGTTCTGTTGGAAGTGCGGTAGGCGTGATATACGAACAACCGACTGCTGCCGAAATAATTTGGGAAACGTGACCTTGGTCGATGGTTCCCAGAGAGAAGTGCAACATCCTGTAGAAACCACCATCGATCTCGGCAACCAAATCGTCCCCATGAAAGTATTGGTCATGCTGGATGCCAGAGAGGATATAACAATAGGATTAGACTTTTTAGCGAAAACTGATGATGATGGTCTAAATCGGTGATTTCTGTGTCAATCGTGCATCTGACTTAGCGATCGTCAGCAATGCCGCCGATCGACAGAGGTAAATCCTGGAACGGATGCACCTTAATAGGTAAGAGCCCATACTAATGCCAAGCAACAGAGAATCCAAAGCTTCTTAGATTCTTAGCTCCAGAAGTTTAAAGATATTCTTGATGAAGTGCACCGCCGCCACCCATCTCATAGTTATGACCGATCGGCTTAAACTCCGATACACGGCCCAAAAACCCGTTATGTAGCCAAATATTGACGCTAAGTACGAGCTATTAGTCAATGGGTCAATTGAGCCGTCACATAGTCCCTACAGCACATCTTTAACCTTAGCACAGAAGAAACATGGAACTTCGCGCAATGCATGGACTTTCCCCACCTCAACAGCAAGTCAAATGTAGAAGTCTATCCGCCACCAAGCATTCAATCTATCTCAGATCGACCAAGGCAAGCGAAACATGTCAGATGTTTTGACCTGAAAGGTGGTTACTGGTAAATACCCTTGGAGGAAAAATACCAAGAAATACACAGTGTTCACCATTGCGGGAAGAGGCTTATTTCAGTGGCGTTTTATGCCCTTTGGCCTTCATTCCGCACCAGCAACGTCTCCATGGGCTTAAGACGGCGTTATCGGACCGTAGCTGGAGCCATTTTCTATCGCGTATCTCGATGACATCATCGTTATTGGTAGAACGTTTAATGAACACAGGCTCTGATCAGTGAATTTTGAAATTGATTTCGAAAAATGTCAGTTCATCCAGACGTAAACTAAGTATCTGGCAACTTTAATAGAAAATAATGCAGTTGAACCACCAAGCCATTTAATGCCCTTTACGACGTAAATGATGGCGGTCTGCAACGATGGACTATTAATTCGGTATGGAGAATGAAGCCGGCAGATAAAGGGGGTGGTATGGGCAAGAGAGCCTGGGCAGCGGTTACCTATAAAGATATTCATATTGCTTTAGTACATACCTGTTTATATATAGATTATATTTCATATTGTTATATTTAAATATTTCGTGCAAATCAAATTTTAAATTTTATAAAAATACAGTCCACTATGAATATGCTTATTTGTGCCGCCCGGGAAAATGCACAAAATACTTTGTACATAATTTTGAGTGTAAACAATTTGGTGATATTGTGCGCTGACACATATGACAATGTGTGAGATAATAAAGGTTATGACCCACACGCACAGATATCGATGCGCTCAGTAGATGTACAAGACCACTTGAATGAAATGACAAGCCGCCCTGCAATGTTTTCTATACAATATAATAACAGATAAGAATAATTGTGTGGCTGCGATTAGGGTAGGTTAGATTAGTTTCAGTAGCCCTTAACATAATATTTTGAAATAAGAACTAGAATTGAGTCTACATCCAAGCGAAGCGGTTATATTCTTTTCTCACTTTGTGTTTCTCCAGTCGAGCCTAATAGATAATAGAAGTGACAATCGAAGAGGGAGATTGGATTCTATTCCCATTTACAACCGCTATCATGGAGATTAAACCGCTCGAGAATGTTAAAAGCTTTTCCTAGGCGTGGAGACTTGGTACAGCCGTTTCATCCAGGAATTCGCCACCCAGACTTACCCGTTAACCTCACTATTGTACAAGGGAAAACATTGGCAATGAACCGAAGACCATCAGACGGCTTTCGCCATACTTAAGGCCCGGGCCAGTGAGGGCCTCCCAGACTTTGAGCAAACATTCATATTGCAGACAGACGCCAGTGACTGTGAACTCGGTGCTGTACTCATGAAAGAGTGCTGTCCTCACGCAAGAGTTGAGCCGTTCGCTCAACGGTGCGAAGAGAAACTACTCGGCTTTGGGAAAGGAATGTTTGGCGATTGTCTAGGGAATTCAAAAGATGACGTCGTATCTAGAAGGATAGGTCTAGAAGGAAGTGGCTGAATTGGATCCATACTCCAACTGGAAGATAGGCCAGTTGGGCTTTAGGACTGCAACAGTACATTATCCGATATCGAAAAGGAGGATTCAAGACAGTAAGAGACGCGTTATCGCGATAGACAGTCGAGACCCACTAGCGGACGGTAGTCGAGGAAACGGTCGAGTGTCCATGGAGAAGTATCCCGACATGGAGAAGTATCCCGACCGACACATTTCACGCCATCCGGTCGACGAGGAGAATACGCCTTTCAAGTTGTATGTTCTCAGTGCCTTACGCACACGTGTCTTACAACCCAAACATTTTTCAATCAACTTGCAATAAAAATTGTGTCAATTCAAATTTACTGATTACCCATACACACATTTTCGTATTACCCATACAACTGTACCTCCCGATATTAGATATTTTGACTATTTAGATCACATTTTCTAACAGAATAAGTTGTGTCATGGTCCACATCTTGTGCTTGAACATTGCCAATATAAGTATAAGTCTTCTAATAGCCCCCATATAAGAGTAATTTCCGATATTCGTATTTGTACGAATTAATCGGAATTTGTTAAAATTCGATAACTATTGCACCAACGGATTCTATCTTCTGAATCAAAATTTTGTCTATATATGTTCACGTTTTCTTTTAGCCCTCTCATCTGCCATTATTTATATTACATTTTGTAACAGAATATTATATTTTGTATTGCAAACATGCCATAGGGGCAAAAACACACAAAAAAGACCCACAGGGCAAATTAAAAAAATAGCTAAAAGAGGATAACAAAGTCTACAAAAAAAACAATTTTGAAAAGGGAACATCAAAAATCCCGACATAAAAAAAGAAAAAAGAAAGAAAGAAAAAAATAAAGCAAACTAGTAAAGAAACATAAAAGAGCGAAAGTTGATACAAAAACAAGTTAAAAAGCAGTAAGTTCGGCCGGGCCGAACTTTTAATACCCTCCACCATTTGCAACGAATTTGGAAATTTTCAAAAATAAATTCCTTAAAAAATTCTGTTAAAATTTTAAAAATACCGAATATAGCCGTTATTTTGGGGTCTATACGACGTGGACATACATAGGCATTGTTTGTCATAAGCCACTACGATATTCAAATTCGAAACTTGTAATAAACGGTGAATAATGTAGCTAAAATCATCAAAATATGGAATATAGGGAGGTACCGTTATATGGGGGCTATACGAAGACCTGGACCCGCACAGACAATTTTCTTCCACAGACTGTAGTTCCCATAACGAACTTCAAATACCATTTTTAAAACAATTCCGGTGAATAATGTCGCTAAAATCATCAAAATACCGAATATAGGGAGGTACCGTTATATGGGGGCTATATGAAGACGTGGACCTGCACAGACAATTTTCTGTCTTAGGGTGTAGTATCCATTTTGAACTTCAAATACCAAATTTGAAACAATTCCCGTGAATAATGTCGCTAAAATCATCAAAAGACCGAATATAGGGAGGTACCGTTATATGGGGGCTATATGAAAACGTGGACCTTCATGGCCCATTTACGAACTTAACCTGCCTACTGGAAAAATAAACATGTGTGCAAAATTTTAGCCACCTATCTCAATTCGTTCGAAAGATAGCGTGATTACAACAGACAGACAGACGGACATCGCTAAATCGACTTAGAATTTTACGCTGATCAAGAATATATATATATACTTTGTTGGGTCTGATATGAGTATTTCGAGGAGTTACAAACGGAATGATAAAGTTAATATACCCTCCATAGTATGGTGGAGGGTATAAAAATGGAAAAGGAGTCAGGAAGATGCAGCAGTAGAAGCAAATGCTGAAATAAGTGGAGCAATGTTCCTATTGCAAGAACCCAATAAAAATGAAAATGAAGACACTGAATAAGAGGAAAGGCAAATCGCCGAAGCAGAGAGAGATAACCTGTTCAAACATCTTGCAAATTTTATAGAAAATAATGAAGTTGAACTAAAGCAGATTCCAGGCTTGGAAGGAAATTTTGGGATTTTTTTCCTCCGGCAAAGTCCTCAATTTGAGGAACGAGATGAGGGAGGAAATTCCGAGGTTGAATCCGCCCTGACTACGATGCACCCAAAAAACATAATTATATTAAAGGCGCTACGCACAGAAGGTCCCATAATTTCCAATGAATATGGAAAAGAATGCATCGGAGAAATAGGAAAAGCAGATT